AAAATCTAATCTATAAATTTATTAGGACATAGATGGGACATGTCCGAAAATAAAATTTTAGTGGGACATGTCCTTATAACAATCAATAAGCTGGAATATTCTAGGACACGAATATTTGGATATATCCAAAATGTCCCATGTCCTAATCTACATATCGGACATTGTCTCATGTACATCACTGCCTATAGCCAATACATTAAATGGAACTAATTTCTAATTATCAATTGATTGTAAAACTGAGTCAGAAACCCGACGATGCAAACAGTATTTTTTAACAGCAAATTCTGCTGCTTTGCTTGTTAAACCTTTCTGATATATATCCATATAACGAAATGCTTTTCTTGCATATCGGCGAATGGTTCTAAGTGAGACAGAAGCAAGAGCCAATGGAATGGTTCTTTGTAATCCTGTTTATGAGTAATCACAATATGACTGACTAAATTTCTTGGCTGCATCCCAAAAGTTCATAATGAAGTTAAGCTCATAATTAAACTTAGGATAGAATATAACTTGATGTCTAGTTGCAACAATTACTTCTTTTAATCGTCCCTTTTATGTTAAGAAATCTGGCTGTTGACTCATTACTTTTCATGCTGCTTCTAATTTTAATCCTTCATTTGACCATAATCCTCTTTCTTTTAGAACTTGCTTTAATCCTTTTGGCTATTCGCACAATTCAAAAATGTGGTAATCTAAAGGAAATATCATATCTTGTGAAATACCTCCATTAAAATATGTTTTGCGTATTTTTGGCTGTTTTACATTAGGGTTGAAATTTATATGTTTAGCAATAAGTGCATCTAGTGAAAAGGTAGAATGGCTTGATGCATTATCAAATACAAACAAGGTTTGACATCCTGAAAAATGTGTTTCAAATATTGGAATAGCATGTTTAACTATTTGATTTACCAAATTATCAGCCTTCCACCATCTATCGTTATTTTGCCTATATACATGATGACACAAGTCTTTTTAGGTAAATTATTGTCTAATATTTGCATTTCATCAGGAAGTGTAAGGCGATCACAAACTTCAGTTAAAAAATCACTTACGTGAATCGAACGACCATTACCTTTCTTTCTTAATGGTTGTTCTCTATTGGGAATCCAAAGACTTTTACTTTCATCATAAGCTAAGAAAATACACTCATCATGTGTAACAAGAATGAGTGGTTGCACATTATTGTTTTGCCAAGTTATTTCTTCCAAATTGTCTCCTGAAAAAATAGGCATCCTATACTCAAGCTTACTCATTTGTTCTAAAAATACCTTTCGATAGGCCACCACATCCTCTCTTTTACATCCATCCATATAAATTCCTTTCTTCATCTTTACATAGTTATATCCAAGCTCTCTTAAATATTTTTTTGCAGTATTAACATAAATGGTTGGGGATGGTGAAAATCCAAGTCCTTGCAAAATAATATCATTCATTTATACCATTAACATCTGTGAAGTAATATCCCATTTATGTTCTAGAATATATAATTTTATTTGTAAAAGAATATTCTTATCCCAAAGAAGACTTAATACTTTAGCATAATATTCTCGGCAGAAGTAAGGAATCTGATGAGTCTTTACATATTCATGTGCCCAAGAACAAATACATCCGGCATGATATATATCTTTTTCTGCTACGTCAGCAATAACCTCGCTTACATCTATTTTGAATAGTCACATTTTACAAGTTGGAGATAAAGACGAATGCTATTTAAATGTTCCCAAACCTCACTTTTTACATTTTTTTTTAATATCTAACTTTAGATTTTTAAGTGCAGCTGGAATTTTATTATTCCAATCATAATCCTCAGTCTCATCATCTGATACATCAGATAGTTCGCCAATACCATCATTTTTCTTGGTAGATTTCTCAGTATTCCAAAAGGTATGTAACATAACTGTTCCTTTTACTGCCTCACATTATTGCTGATTTCTTCTTTTAGTTCAGCTTGAGTTTTCTACGTAATATGATATACGTACATTATTTGAAGCATATTTCAGATGATATTCTTTTGCTGTTTCTTGAAATTTTTTTATAATGTTTACAGCATCATTATTTTCTATTTGTTTATCACAAACAGAATCATCATCTTATCCTTTCAGCTCATCATCAAAGGGAATATCAGGACCTTTTAGATTATCGTCAACATTATCATAATCTTTAGAGTCATCATGATCAAATACATTACTAACATTGGCTTGCATACTATCAATATTACATTTGATGCTTTGATATATAGCCTTTGCTTCACAAGCTTTCTTTGATCATTTTTTACGTTTTGTTAGACGTGGCATATTAACACAAATTTGTATAAAATTTTTATAGGAAAAAAATTTTTTATAAGCAAAAACTTCGTATAGGAAGAAAAGAATCATAATTGTTACAATCACAAAATAAAATGTATTATACATAATTTATTATCATTGTTTCGAGTATAATACATACAGTGGTATGCAAAAAAAAAAATTTTTTTTTGAAAAAAGATCAATAAGCGTAACTTGCCCAATTTTGGTTAGATTTACACAAATAAATATGTAAATAAAAACCTGACAATCACTTTATCATCTTTTAGCGAAATCTTTCCCACACATTAATAAAAATTATTTTTTATCGAATATTAAAATGACTTCATCAACCCAAGAAATACAATGACAAACTATTTTACATTATTGGAAGCAAGAAGTACGAAATGCTATTAAAATACAAAGTTTAACAAAGATTCCAATCAGTACTATTCGTCGAAACCTTAAAAAATGGAAAATATTGAAGATATCAAACATAAAAATGGTAGCGGACGAATTAAAAAAATAACTTCACATGCATTCTAGGCAATTAGACAGTTTATTCGAAGGGAACCTTCAATTTCTACTGGATTTGTTGCTGCCAAATTAGAAGATATAGGAGTAGAAGTCTCTTGCTTAACAGTTTCAAGACATTTGGCTGACCTGTAATATCGAAATGCACTTCTTTTTCACACACCAATGTTAACTACACTCCATAAACAAAAACGAGTTGAATGGGCCCAAAAACATAAGGATGATGATTGGAAAATGACCTTATTTAGTGATGAAACAGCTTTCCAATTATTCTGTAATACGATAAAGCATTAGTATAAAAATGCAAGGCCAGTTCATCAAATGCCAAAGGACCGTAGTAAAATCTTTGCTTGGTGTGGTTTTTGTGTAAAGGGTATTACCAATCTTTTTAGTTTTAGCGTATAATGAATGGAGAATTCCACACGAAGATATTAAAAAAACATATTCCAGAAGTGCATAATATGTTACAGGATAATTGGCGATTACAGCAGGATAATAATCCTAAGCATACTAGTAACATTGCTAAGGATTTTCTTGCTAAAGAAGTCCCAGAGGTTATGGATTAGCCCTCTAATAGTCCGAACCTAAATCTCATTGAAAACATTTGGGCAATTGTTAAAAGGAATGTGAAACAGCGTAGGCCAAAAAACCTTGGTGAATTACAGTGTTTTTTGGGAAGGAGTGGGAAAATTCCGGATAGCCTTCTAATTAATCTTGTTAACTAAATGTCACAGCGTTGCAAAGAGGTTATCGAAAAAAATGGTGAAAGAATATCCTATTAATTTTTTTAATAAAATATACATAATTTTAGCTTTAAAATAACGCATTGTACATTTTAATTGATGCATTATTTATGGAACTAACGCAATTTTAAAAAAGTTCATTTTTTTTGCACACCACTGTATATAATAAACTATTTGTATTCTGATTTAATCACTATATCATGTAATATATATGGACTAATAAAATTGCAAGTTTAATATATCACGTGATTAAGGATCGATATCTCAAATTTGGCTGCTAAAAATGTTATTTGTCGGGACTAAGTTGTACGCACTGTATAAAAATGTTTTTACAATATGTTATCTTTATTCTAAATACTTGTTTATCGATATTGATCACTTCTAAAAAAAATAAAAATGCAAATAAATGACCAACCAATTCCTGCTACTCTACAAAAATAAAATTCAAAGCAAATAAAGCAAATGTTAATTTTGATTAACTCAAAGATCTTCATACATAATTTTTCATAAATATATCCTACATTAGGCATATCTTCAGAAATTTGTTTTGGTTGAAGATCATCATCATTTGCCTTAACTTCACAAGTTTTTGTAAATGCAGATTCAAGTACATCATTTTCCATTGGTATTTCTTAATACAAGTCATATATTTCTTCATAAAAGTAATCAAAAGTTTGCATTTCAATTTCATTTTCAAAATTATTATTATCATTGAAAGACATTCGAAATTGTTCAGCATCCAATATAAAAATATCAGAAGAAATCTCTTGTTGCGGCAAAGATATTAATTTATTATTTTCATTCAAATCAATTAACATAACTTCTTCTTCTTTTTCATCTTCAAAGCTAAATAGGTCTTCTTGAAATAATGTTTCTTTTGGTGTTGGGATATCTTTTTTGTAATTTTCATTTTTAGACAATATAGTTTCCTTTTTTAATATTTCGTCAGATAGCATAATTTCTTATGTCATATTACATGATTTTATACTTTTTCTTTTTCTTTGACGTTGAACTTTTGATAAATATTTTTGATCTCTTTCTTGCCAAGGAACAAATCTTTTTTCTTTTACTTTAATAAATAGCTGTTGTATATATTTTGTTCAATTTCTTCCTAGTTGTATCATAGGAATTTCTTCTTCTTTTATTTGTAAAAGAAAATATATTTCTTCGTTATTCATTAAAAAAGTATACCCATGTAAATAAAAATTTCCATTATCATTTTCTGTAATAAAAAGCATTGAAGTATCTTCATATTGCATTATATCAATTAAAAGAGTATTAGAGATCCAACTATCACTTTTTGTTTTACTTATATATACAAAATAATTTTCTTCTTTAAATAAATATTCCAAATCCATGATTTTAAAATTAATTTGTTTAATTAATATAACTTTTTTTTTATTTTTAATATAAAGATAAAATATTAAGCCTGACAGGAATCACCAATTTGTTAATTTTATGCTCAACCATCGAATTTAGGGTAATGATGACTTGATAACAGGGAGTAATACATATAATTAATCTAAGATTACTATGAAATAAGTCCTATCACGATCAACCTTTATCACAATTAATAATAAGTAAACACGATGAAGGGTTTTGTGTAGATTATTGTATAGAAAGAAAGATTCCTTTATTGTAGAATTTGTATTATTAGAATTCTTTATGCTTGAATTCTAAACCCTGAACTAGTTACCTGAATTCTTGAACTCATACTTTGAGTTATTCTTTCATTTGAGCTTTACATTATCTTATTTATACAAAAATACAATTATTAGAAAATCTATATATAACGTTATTATAAAATAAATAATTAATAATAATAAAATAATTAATACATATAATATATAATCCAACTATTATAAATAATAAAACTATGTTAAATATAAAAATGTTGATAATGTTAATAAAGTTGAGAATGTTAATGGAGTTGAGAATGTTAACATTTTGCAGATCCTTATGACATAGTAATTTTGATATGATCTGATATCAATGTTTAATCATTCTATTAAAATAATTCTTTCTATTGTTCCTTTAGAATGATGCATTATCACTCTATTAAAATAATTTTATTTATAATTCTATCAGAATGATTCTTCTATCATTCCTTTTAAATGATATTTTATCATTTTATTAGAATGATTCTTCTATCGTTTCTTTAAATAATGCATTATTATTCTATTAGAATGATTCTTTTGTCATTCCTTTAAAATGATGCATTATCATTCTATCAGAATGATTCTTCTATCATTCCTTTAAAATGATGCATTATCATTCTATCAGAATAATTTTATTTATTGTTCTTTTAGAATAATTCTTTACATTGTTCTATTAGAACAATTCTTTTATCATTCCTTTAGAATAATGATTTATTGCTCAATCAGAACGAGTAACTCGAGTTGAGTCAAATTGAAATTTAAAAATTTTTTTATCTCAACTTGACTCAACTTGATTTTTTCAAGTCAAGTTGAATTTGAAAAAAACTCATTTAACCTGACTTATTCAGAATTTTAGGTTTTACTATTAAATATAACATAGGTAACAATTCATTAACTAATCTACGAGTTTTCATTGTAGCTATACATGAAGTTAAAATAAAAACCCAAAAGTTGAAATATTTCGACTTTAGAGGTCAAAGTCAAAATAAGAAGTCGAAATGGTCAAAATGACATTATATCACATGATTTTTTATATATAAAAAAACAAAAAAACAGATATACGATCTTAGTCAATATCACTCCAATTCGTATGATAAAACTATCTTTCAATTCCTTGCGACTAGACGAATCCAATGAGCTAGCATTCATTGATTTTAGATTAGCCTATCTCGAAATATTTGCGATTGAATTTTGAAATCTGGACTTCTTTATTTAAAGTAAAATTTATTGATTTATAATTTTGGCTAATAATACATGTTTCATACGAATCAGAAAGATATTGATCGAGATCATACATCTTTTATTTTTTTGTTTTTTCTATATATAAAAATCATGTAATATGACGTCATTTTAATCATTTTGACTTTCACCTCAAATAGTTGAAATGATTTCGACCATTTCAACCATTTCAGATATCTGAAATGATCTATTTTGACTTCATGAATAATTGTAGCTAAATATGTAAATACTAGAGTTTTAATTCTCCTATATAATTCTTATAGGACATATGCATAGACATCAACAGTCTTATTAGATTGTTAATATCATTATTCAAGCTCTATGGTTCAAATTTCCACTAGTGTTTGTATTCAAAAAGCAGTAGGTGAATTAATAATAAAGTCTATATTATTATTATTCCTAGTCAATGCATTAATTCTATTTGTATTATTAGCTGCAAATACTTGATTTATTATCTGCCAGGTAAAAGCTGGTTCCTTAAAGTAAGCTGGTACTACTTCTAATTTTTGAGTATATGCAACTTCATTTGTATTACAAGCTCATGTAAACTCTTCTAACTATCTAACAGGAGTTTAGTTTCCTTTATAATAATTAGATATTTATACTATACAAGCTTTTTTTTTAAGAAAATTAGCTAGTGCATTCACTTAAGATTATATTTAGGCTTATAAATTTACAGGGGTATCATTTGCATTTAGTAATCCCAGATATTACAAGATTTCTTATAGAACTTGTAAAACTGCTGTTAATTTTTGAAGATCAACTGCTTGAGTTAGTGTTCAGAAATGACCTGGTCATTTGACCATTTAAATGATTTGTCTATTCCTTTATCATAATCATAAATCATTTAGCATTTGTCATTTCGCAAATGATCTAAATGACAAATGATAAATGATCAAGATCATTTAAGATCATTTAAATCATTTGTCATTTAGTCATTTGCTTTTACAAAAAATTTAGCGATACTCTTAAAGAATCACAAATTCTTAGCGAGTTTCGCAATTTTATCTCCCAACGATAAAGAATCGTTTCAAAGGATGATAGAAAGATCATTCCGGTAGAACGATAGAGGAATCGTTCTAAAGGAATGATTAAAAGCATCATTTCTCAAGAACGATAAAAGATCATTCTAAAGGAACGATACAAAAAAATCATTTCTTAATAACAATACTATATCATTCTATTAGAACGATGAAAAAAATCGTTCCTTAAGAATGATAAAAGATTGTTCTAAAGAAACGATACAAAAAAATCATTCCTTAAGAATGATACTACTTTATTCTATCAGAACGATAAAAAAAATCATTCCTTTAGAATGATTCTTCTATCGTTATATCGGAACGATACTTTAATCATTCCTTTAGAATAATTCTTCTATTGTTCTATTGGAACGATGCTTTTAATCGTTCCTGTAGAACGATTCTTCTATCATTCTATCAGAACAATGCTTTTAATCATTTCTTTAGAACAATTCTTCTATTATTATATTGGAATGATGCTTTAATCGTTCCTTTAGAATGATTCTTCTATTGTTCTATCGGAATGATGCTTTTAATCATTTCTTTAAAACAATTCTTCTATCGTTCTATCGGAACAATACTTTTAATTGTTTCTTTAGAATGATTCTTCTATAGTTCTATCAGAATAATGCTTTTAATCATTCCTTTAGAACGATTCTTCTATTATTCTATCAGAACGATGCTTTTAATCATTCTTTTAGAATGATTTTTCTATCGTTCTATCAGAACGATGCTTTTAATCATTCTTTTAGAATGATTTTTCTATCGTTCTATCAGAACGATACTTTTAATCATTCTTTTGAATGAAACTAAATAATTGTTCAATTTTTAGCTCAAATTTAGCACTTGACTTGACTTGTTTGACTCATAATTTGAGTTGACTCATTGAGAACTCAAATATAATTTAATATACTATTATATACTATATAAAATATTTGCTCAATATGAAATAATTTTTTTTAATATATATAATTAAATATTTTAATAAATTTAACTTATTTACATTATAATAAACAAAATAAATAATAAAAATTTATAAAATTTGCTATATTTAAAAATTATTGAAATGATTGGTCATTTGATAATTGAAATGACAGATCATTTGTCATTTGTCATTTAAGTCATTTGCCAGTCATAATCATTTGGCGAACACTGCCTTACCGGGCATATTGATTATGGTCTTTTTTTAGATAATTATTTTGGAAATAATAAAACAGTTTAGACAAATTTCAATCTAGCAGAACTTTGGAATTAATATTCCAAAAATTATCAATAATTAGATTTTTAATAATTGAGTGAATAATTAGTGATGATTATTACTAAATTTACTAACTTTTTCGCTTAATTAAAATGTTTGTCGTACAGATCAACATGAATTAATTAATAAAATTTTCAAATTAGGAAATTTGTGACATAAGCAATTAATCTGCATTTTCTAATATATATATATATTCATATTCAATATATGAGAGGTTTGCTAGAAAAATGGGACTCTGAGAAATTTTTATTAAAATTTTAATTTTATTACATGATAATATTAAATTAAATACAATATATATTAAAATTTTAATAAAAAATACTCAGTCCTATTTTCTTAGCAAACCTCCTATATGACATATACTGTATATATGATACACTATTATATCATATTCATATATTTCTGCAATTGCAATAAGCTTATAACTTCTTTGAAATCATTAGAATAAA